TTTCTTATCTACTGAAATTGTATTAAATATTTAATGCGTATATTTTTTACGTGATAATTGAATTTTTGATGTTCCTCTTTTTTTTTTTTATAAAACAACTGCATTCTAAATATATTTTATTCTATTATTCATTTTTTACCTTTCTCTGTCTTCAATGTGTTTTTTAAGGTTTTTTTTACTGTATGTTATTATATTTTTATTTTATTGTGTTCCTCCCTGTTTTTTAAACTTGCAATGTTTTAATCTCTTATTGCCATAATGGATTTGTAGTTGTGTCCCCCCCCCCCACTTTATTTTATTGTTTGCTCTTTTTAATGTAAAATGATGTAAAATAATTCGCAATTCAGCCTTTTGGCTGCCATGTCTTACCGTATGTTTTTGTAATTCTGCTTTTGAATAAATACCATTATACACAATACCATACAGAAATATACTGCTGTAATAATTTTCTATTTGAAAAGTGTGTAAAAATGAGAACAAGATAAGAGCAATTTGAGCCTGTTTCTTATATAAAAGTGTCACTACTTTTAGCTTTTAAACGAGTCACCAAAAGCGGGAAAAATTGCGTGGAGCTTTTACAGGTTTAGGTTTTGAGCAAATATTACTTTCTCGTCTTCACCCTTTACTTAACTGCTTTTGAGTTCACTTTCTTTTTCGCAGGTCAACTACCGTTAGTCAATACTGATTCAGCACCCCATTTCCTCGTCATTGTTTGGGTTTAATAATAGAGCGGATGGTGGGTTTGTTTGGTTAATAATAGGCCTAACATTAACCTATACCATAATAATATCGTCAATTGACATAACTCAAATCAACCAAAACTCAAGCGGAGACATGATTTCGGCCGATTCATTGTGGTTTGATTCAGCATACCTTTTTTGGTCTGACATTTTGAGGCGGACTTTGCCTTTCCGACGAAGCCATCATTGACTAACATTAAACATAAATACTAAGATATTTTATTGGTTGATTGTGGGGTTAAATAGACAGGACGGTCTTTCTTTCTTTTTTTTTTTGGTTAGTAATAAACCTACATTAACCCATAATACCGGTATGAGTAAAACATATCATAATGATTATTTGTATCATTCAGATCAGCCAAAATTCGCTATAATTTTTTGCCAATTCACTGGAGTTTGGAATCACCATACACTTATTTATAAAATGTCACTAGCTTTTTATGACCTTTTTTTTGTACACAAAATTATCCTCCATTTTCTTCTTATTTTTTGCAACTTAATGCTTTTGTTGTGCTAAAAAATAAAGTTAATATTAAATACATTTTCAATATAGGATACCATCGATCAATCGTATTATTGTTGGTTTTTTTTCTATTCGGTATTTCGGACTAAATTCTAGGTGAGAATCTATTTCCTCCCTTATTTCCTTTTCAATAATAATTCGTCCTCTCTGCAGTGGCGTATCTAGAGGGTGCACACGCCCCAACTTCCAAAATAAAGAAGCTTGCCTCCCCAATTGCCACCATACTGAAAAAGAATGAAGCTATAAAAAAAACAAAAAAAAACAAACAAAAAAACAAACCCGCTCAAGTAGTTAAAAATCCCTATCGCATTATTTTTCGAGCTAGCGCGCCCTCGCTTCCTGGTACCATCTTACCTATCTTACGTATTCCCGTAATTCAGTAGGCCCTACCATATCATATGACCTGCGTCCTCGTAAATAAACGTTTATAAAGAAATGCACTTGTCTTCATTGTGTTATTTATCCATTTTAACACTAAATACACTGTAGAGGCCTGTATAACCCAGTTTCTCAAAGTGTTTCATCACACAAAGTAATATACTCTCGATTAAGCGCTGCGGCGCTTCAGAGCGGTGCATATTCGAGCATTTACGGTAATGTCTTCATATCTTTCGTATGTATATTGTGTCGCCATACTTACGTAAACAGCGTATTGATGAGCTTCTCTGTGAATGCAAAAGGGTGTGAAATTTTATATATACCCTACGGCTCACTTTTATTTAATAAAATTACAGAATTGAAAATTTCATTCCCTAAAGTGATTGCTTAACATTTTTACTATTTTAAATAGTAAAACAATTCAAAAATTCCTGTTCTAAGAGTGATTTCATCGTTTGGATCGGAGAGAATTCAGAGTGGACACTGTAGGCACTACGCTTTACAGTAGACCTGGTAATGTTGCGTCTTTCAGGACTCAACAATTTTCAAACAAAACGGCTAAATAACTCGGATTACAAAAATGGTATAAAACCAGTAAAAAATACACACACACATACCATGGAGGTATAGGCCTACCCCCATGCACACATACACACACACACGCGCGCGCGCGCAACAAATACCAAACAGACAAATTATTGTTGAAAGTCTACAAAGATTGGAGATTGATTTACAAAATATTATTCTTATTTCATTTTATTTATTATCATTATTTTCTTATTCTCCTATATCCTTCACCTTACCTTGATAGGCCTATTTTGTATTATCGTGCAGAATTTTGGAAATTGTGAAATAAAAAGATGGACGCTTGTCTGACATTTCGTGGCCGACTTGGCTTTTCAGTCAAAGCTGCCATTGACTAACATTAATAACAACAAATACTATGATTATTATTGGTTGATTGTGGTGTTAAAAAATAACAGTACGAATGATTTGTTTGTTTGAAAAGTAATATTTACCTACACCGTGTGCCTAAATACCGTTTTGATTGGCTTGTTGACAAAAACAGAACCCATTTAAAAGTTTAGTTTTGATGAAACGTGGAGGAAGTGGTCTTAGGCCTAGATCCCATTAAGGAAGTCATACTATTTAAAAAGGAGGGTAATAGGTTTATAAGTTCAAGCGTCTATAAATATATCTTGGTTTTAAGTGAAGTGAACTACTGTACAAAAATAAGTTGGTTTGCTATCGTATACCTTTTAGACCTACCCGCTTAATACCTAGCTATTTATGCAGCTGGGTTTAGGAATATCATGTCCTTATTTTAATTAATCTTAGTAATACTTTTGATGACACCGCTATAAAAGTGCCGGCAATTGACCATTGATTTAATAAACTCTGTTATGTTAATGCATAATGAAATTAATTTCACCTTCGGTCAATATAAACTAAAATATTGTTTTCTCATAATCCGTAGGCCTATTTGTTAAGTGTCACTTCATAATTGTCCTTTTCTTATAAACGTTCACGTTGTACTTTCATTGAACACTCCGGAAATATACATTTTAGATGCAGTGTAGTTTTAATGTGCTCGGTACTGCATTTACTGTTGAACACTTAAGCCTTCAATTGCCTTTTGCTAATCCTCACAATTGCCTTTTGCTAATCCTCACGTTTGCCTTTTGCTAATCCTCACAATTGCCTTTTGCTAATCCTCACAATTGCCTTTTGCTAATCCTCACAATTGCCTTTTGCTAATCCTCACGTTTGCCTTTTGCTAATCCTCACAATTGCCTTTTGCTAATCCTCACGTTTGCCTTTTGCTAAGGCGCCAGTAAGGGAGTTGGGGGTGGTTTGGGGTGGTTTGGGGAAGGGGATTAAGGTCCTCCCCCCCATCGGTCTGGTCAAGCCCACCCATCGGCCAAAGCTTGTCGGATAGTCGGACCAAAAACAAAAAAAAACAAAAACAAAAAAAAAAAAATAGGCCTAGTTTTCCCATCCCAGTACTGTAGGGCCTACTGCCTACGCCAAGCCAAATCTGTCTCAGCAATCGCTTCGTCTGGGTCTGTCTGTCAGTCAAGCAGAACATAACAATGGTGAATCGAGTTTAATTTAACGTCTTAATGCTTTTATCATGATACATTAAAATAGTGTTGAAATACTAAGTACTATGAAATGCGTGTTTATTGACTTGAGAGTAGTACTGTATATAGCAACAACTAACAATTTTATATTAATTATCAACTTGTATTTTTCAAATCTGACAGTGCCATTTCCGGCCATCTAGACTTGTCCCATTTAAAAAAAATCTCATTTTGGGAGAAGGGCACACCCCCTCCCCCACCCATACCCACCCCGGCTCAGGCCTTCGGCCTTCAGATAACGCGGCTCGTTATAGTTACTCCCATAAATACTTATCCCCCATAAAAACTTAGTCGGACATCTTAGCCCCCACCCCCATATCCTAGAGCACCCCCTGCTTTGAACAGGTCATTCTCATAGAAAAAGCCTTTTGATGGAGAATGATACTTTTTTAGCAAGGTTTGCCTACGTCGAAACTATATAAATATATAAATTTGATTAGAAGATTGAAAAAGTTATTATTGTTAATGAAAGATTAATAATAAGGATTACTATGTCCATTTTTATTGACCTAATCTACGTAAATTTACTTTCAGAGTTTATACTTCTCTAATGAAATTGTTTAGATATTTATTTGAAAAATACATTATATGAAATAATGTAATCGTTAACGTTTAATAATATATGATAATATTTAAATAAAGCAATAAGATTGAATTATGTTAAATAGAAAGATTAATAATAAGGATTACTATGTCCATTTTAATTGATCTAAACTACGTAAATTTACTTTCAGAGTTTATATGTTATATTTACATACCAGACTGAGGAAGGGCTGAAGAACATAATCATAGTCAAAGTAAACACATCATTAACTATATGTTTAATATGCTGTTTAATAAGAATTACATATTTCGAATACCAATGCATGGATGGATGATTGTTTATAATGAATAGTCGTCTCAGTCTAGCATAGTGAGAGGCATATTAAATTTTTTCTTATAAACTCCCAGCAGGCTTTTTCTTTTATCAACATTCAAAATACTATTGTGATGTAAAGTAAACTTTCAAAAAACCCACAATACATAGCATATTTTCCAATAATGTTATTCTTATAAAGTCTTGCCTTTATATTTCGTTGAAAAGTGGATATAGCAATTTGACTTTATGCACTCTTTTCAAACAGGTCTTAAATTACTGTATTTATATGCTGCCATCACTCGGCTCAACTCATGCATCCACAACAGACGCTAGGGGCGTTTTCCCCATACAGCGGATCGGGCGTCACGCTGACTCGCGGGCATTAAGAATAGCAGTGGACACTCTTCTTTCTGTTATATGCTCTTTGATGATGGTTCTTGAAAACCGTTACCGCGAAATGGACGGAGTATATTAAAGGCCTAGGGTATAGTATTTTTAAAAGAGGTAAATTATAAAGGTATTTAGATCGCAAATATATCGCTTTTTGATGATTGTCTGCTGCTGACTGACGACGAACAGAACCTTCCTTGTTAACTATAATAGTAGCATAGTATATAGCAGGGGCCTAACTAACAAACCAGTCCAGGCATAATGAAAAACTGCTGACCTCCCTACCTAGATAGGTAGGTAGGTCTACCTAGGCCCTCTTTTATTATTAATTAGCTAGAGCATTGACCTGTTTAATATTAATAGGTACATTGCTAGATAGAGAGGACTAGGTCTAGGCCTATCATTAATGTCAATACAGTCTAGGGTTGATGGATTATTCCTTTATAGAGGATCCCATCATTTTAGCAAAATAATTTAACTGCATTGGTGTGGAATTCCCAGGTTTGGATTCTACACAAAAAAAAATAAAGTTATTGGGAATTTCCATCATTCACAAAGTTGTTGGGAATTTACCTGATGGATAGATGATAGCCTTATACCCGATTCACACATACAAATGTAACAAAATGTAACCAAAAGTAACATTTTACGGCAGTGTGAAATTACCTCCATGTAATATCCTTGTAAAATCTCGGAACGTCTCAGTAATCTTTACCAGCCTCGCTGAGGCTGGTAATAAAGCTCCCGAGATGTAGCATGGATGGATCTGCGGCATGCGCAGGAATTTCAATGCAACAACAACCTACTGTTTTTCTGGGGGTTCTTCAAATTTTCTTTTTTCTGCAGACAATTCCGATCCAATAGAAATAGATAATAATCTCAATAATGTATGAATTACCCTTGTTATCGATGTTAATTAGAATGGTAGAAGAAGACATACATAAATGAACGTTAGGATGGTGTTCTAGGCCTAGTATTATCAAGAGTCGACAGAAACGTCGGAAGTTAGGCCTAGTTTAGTAGTAGTAGTACAGCAGTTGTTAAAGTGCATTGATTACTTCGAATGTTTACTGTGATGGTGAGTTCAACAGTCCATCTGTGATAGGGGTTCTCAACTAGGCCTAGGCTAGGCCTATATTGCAGCAAGGGCAAAAATGATTAATTGAATAAACACTGAATAACTTTTACACTACCTTGGCATTACCTTTACAGACGCGTGTGAATGCTTTATATCTTGGTAGGAAAAACTTGGGAGATAGCTCGGTTACAATTTGTTACTTTTTGTTAAATTTAACTTTAACACGTGTGAATCGGGTATTAGTTAGGTCTAGGCCTATTCCCAATTTTTCATAGGCTAGGCCTTAGTTAGGCCTTAAGCCTTTAGGGAAAATAGAAAAATTTATTAGATGATCACTCCCGCCCGCATCAAAAATTAGGGAAATGTTGATGCGGGAATAAATAAAAAAATTCTTTTTCCCGCGTCAATTATTTCAACAGCATAAAAATATTAAACAATGCAATTTTGTGACTTCATATACAATTTCTTTAAGAAACTATAAAATTAAACCAATTTTTATACAATATTTACTATAGTATTACAGAACAAATATAAACAGTCCCTCTCTCATCAATAAAAACAAAAGCGAAATAATCTATTGTTCCGATTAAAAAAAAAAAAAATGGCCCTCCATTATTAATTTAAAAAAGAAAGAGTGATAAGGCCAAAAAAATAAATACAGTTATTTAGCGTCACCGCCCGACCTTGATTTTTTAGCCGCCTAAAAATGTGATAAAAATCGACTAAAAATGCTGATATCTAATAAAAATTTTTTATGTGTTCTTAGTATGTGACAAAATATGCAAGGAATTCCTTTGCAGCCAATACCATTTGAAAGAGCAGTAATGTAGCATTATATTGACATCAAGATCATCATTGTCCTCTGTCAAATTTCAACAAAGTTACACAATTTAAGAATTGATTAATTATGCCTAATTTTGGTCCTTCAAAACTAATGTAAACAATAGAAAAGTATGTGACCTTTTTCTTGCAAAATTATCAAAAACTGCCTTAACTTCTTTGTATAGACATATTTCAATAAAATAGCAAGAATTTGAAAGCATACTACAAGGACAAATAAAGTGAAACTCATTAAAATTCAAGCATTTATTACTAATTAAATAATATTTTAATTTATTACAAGTAACTAATTATCATTATAATTATATAGACATAGGTACCTTAATGAGAGCAGCTTAGCTCAGTCGGCTAATCTGGTGGTAGCCACTGTGTGTGCGCTGAACCGTGGAGATCTCTAGATCCCCGGTTCAATTCCCATCGCTGCTTCTCCTTTGTTTCAGCTAGAGGGCTGAAATACAAGTTACAATAGCGCACCGTCTTTCGGATGAGACGTTTAAGCCGTTGGTCCCGTGTGCATTTATGGCTCGTGTGCACGTTAAAGAACGCTGTACACTCTTCGGAAAAGAGTAGGGGATTGTTTCCCGGTGTACTGCCCAATCACCACCAGAAGGACCCAACTGGAAATAAGTCTTCTTCTAGACTTTCGTGGGCTATCCTTGGTGTTTACATCAAATCCATTCCATTCCATGTATATAGACATTATGGTCAAAAATACTCATACAATACAAGATTTTGGTACTCAATACCAAAACTAGATATGAATAAATATATCAAAGAACACAATTAAAATTGGTTTCAGAGCAATATAAACTTGGACATTCAGTTAACAAAACAATTTAACATAAATTGTGACTGTGCGTGTGTGACGCAATATGTGATTGTAGCAAGACCAGACATGCATGACATCAGCCTGCAACACACAGTATAGGATTTTTTGAGAGTGATGTAGGAGTATTTATGTAGAGGGCCTCCTGTATTCAGACCAAATAAAATGCCTGCACCCAGAAAAAACCTGACATTTAGTGTAGATGATGTAATTTCTCAGCTTTGGTACAGCCTCAGGCAATGGTAATGGGGCGGACTGGAGAAGGTTAATAAACATTATGGATATTTTCATGCCGTAGTGTATTAAGGTAGTGTGACTCAAGTTAGGTTAAAGTCATCTCCACCAATCAAATCCTCAGATTAACTTCAAAATCGGCGGAACAATATTCACAGCTTGAATAGATATTAACATTTATGCTTTGATTGCAATAAATTGCTATACCAAGATATTACGGAAAAACTGTTTATTTGAATTATCTGGGAACCAGTCAACTCGCTCCCTACAAAACTCGCACGTCTTTAAAATCTTGCCACCTACAAACGCTCCCCCCCCCCACTTGTCAGATTTGCCTCATACAAACTTACCCCCTAACAAACTCTCCACTGGAAAATTCACCTGTGGGAACACTCATCCCTAAAAATTTTCCCCTTCTGAGTATACAGTTAACTTCCTATAAACTCTCTCTCCGAACAAACTCGCCCAATAACAAACCTGTCCCCTAACAATGACTCTAGTTCTGCCAAACTACTGTATGTCAGTGAAATACAGAAAGTCATTTGTTAGGGGTAAGTTTGTTAGTGGGCGATTTTTATAGGCGGGGGTGGGGCAAGTTTGTAGGGTGGGGGCGATATTGTAATTGCGAGTTTGCTTGGGGGAAAGTTGACTAGAATGTGAATAACTTATGAAACTGAATGATATTCTTTTTTCCTTCCTTTGCACCAGACACAAAGTGACCACCAGAGCTGCCTCAGCACACGATTCTAATCAAGACACTGAATTTTGAGCGGATTATACAATGTCCTCCATTAATAAACTGAGCATCCAAGGTATACGAAGCTTTGGTCAGGACGATGGGGACATGCAGGTCGTCGAGTTCTTCAGTCCGCTGACCCTTATCGTTGGCCAAAATGGCGCTGGAAAAACGGTATGCAGTTGTAGGGGCAGATATAGGGCGGGTTCACACCGATCCCCTCCCCAAGTTTTGCCACTGTGGTAAACACCCCTTAAATACAAAAATGCTACCAAGCTAAGCATAAACTGAACATATCTTGGTGTGGTAATCCCTATAGAGTAGAGATCATTACTGAATATGCCACCTGAGCCTATTAATCAGGTACCGGTCGAAATGGGGATGTTTTTATGGTACAATTTCAATAATTCTATCAACACGTTATAACTGTATTTTTAAAAACTATTATTGACTATTTTAAGTATTTAACTTGGCGATATGCCACCTGGGAATGTATTTGTGTAGGTTGATTTTGAAAATGTCAGTAACACGATATTTAATTTTTTTTTTTTTTAACTAGACTATCATCGAATGTTTGAAGTATATAACAACTGGTGATATGCCACCAGGTATTAAAGGAAGCTCTTTCGTGCACGATCCAAAGGTAGGCTGGTCTGGTTTGTTTGTTTGTATTATATGCCCAATCACAAAATATAAACGTAAACAAAATTCTACAAGGTCCTACTACCATGTGGGAAAAGTGGTGCCTGCATTAGTATTTATGATTATGATTTATGATTATGATAGTTTTAATTATAATAATAATAATTAATAAAAATGATGGTAATTGAAATTGCAATAATGTATGCAATTGTTCTTTATATTTTTATTTTATTTATGCCTGTATTACTTTGGTTTGATTTTTTTTTTTTTTGTAAAGGAGTGATTTTTTTTATGTTTATATTAATTATTATGACAATTTTAATAATAATGATAATAATAATAATAATAATAACAATAATAATAATAATAATAATGGAATAACAGTAACTTTGGCAAAGCTTTTTAAATGTTTTTATAACTATTTTAATCAAAGTTCTGTCCAAGGAAGAAGATGTTTCCATTGTATTTTATGAATGAATGTGTTAAGGGAATATTTTGATGTGTTTTTAATACACATTCTGCTCCTTAAAAAGGCCCTCATTGACAGTTTGGGAGAAAAATTGCTGACGAACATCCTGTGCCCTCCAAGGTCTGGGCTCACAGCATTTTAGCATTATTGTACTCATTCTCATAAACCTTCCACTCATTCTTGCCCTTGTAAAGTCAACATATGTGTAACTCTTTGTCACCAAGTCAATTTTAAGGATTTTTATTGCATTTAGTAAATAAAACATCCAATGCATTGATTTACCATTTAAAAAATCATCCAAAATCTTAAAATGTAAACATATATGCAAACTTTTATATCTTGGATTTTGATTGGATGATTCTTAACGTCTTTACACACAGGTGGCTGACGAGTCAGAGGTCAAAGCACAGGTCAAAATCCGATTTACTGATATAGCCAACAAGTCCATGGTAGTTACAAGAAATCTCACTGCTACACAGAAGGTACATGTGTACAGGGCACCTTTACCAACAAGTGACATCATAATTAATGTTATGCCCATATTAATTTATTTTTTGTCTGTTGAAGTTACAGCTACATGCAAAATATCATGTTTAGGGTATTTTTTGTTACTAAACTTGATTTAGCTTCGAAATCTGGTAGCTCTGACGTAGAGGTAATCCAAACCATTTGGTGTGATAACCCACTCCACTCTAGGTACGTAGTCCATAAACATGGCCTTGGAAATGATATACCAAATATTATTTTCTTGCTATATCTGCTTTCTGAATGCCAAAATAATTTTTTTGGTGTAAATCACACCTAGGATGACCCACTAAGAACAAAGACTTGTTTCCAGTGGGGTCCTTCTGGTGGTGAATTTGGCAGTACATTGGGAGACAATCCCCTACTCTTTTCCAAAGAGTGTACGTTCGTTAACGTGCACATAAAGCCATAATGCACACAGGACCAACGGTTCAAACATCTCATCTGAAAGACGGTGCGCTATCGTAACTTGCGTTTCAGCCCTCCAGTTGAAACACAAGGAAAGCAGCATTGGGCAAATTGAACCGAGAACCTACAGATCTCCACGGTTCAGCGCACACACAGTGGCTACCACCAGTTTAGCTGACTGAGCTAAGCCACTCTCACTTAGCCAATAACCATTTTGGTTTTTTTTTTCACAGGCAAGTAGAGTGGAGTTTAAGACTCTTGAAGGAACGATATTCAGAATCAACCAGCATGGGGAGGTATGCTAAATGATGATAATAAGAAGGTTTTGTTTTGTGCGACAACGCGACACTGGAACTTATTCGCTCATGCGTCACTATCTTGTGTCCTCTGCACAACGTAGTTATTTGGCTAAATTGCATCCTAGAATCCATTCGACAATGAGACCTCAATGTTCTCACATGCGCAGGTTACTTTATGTGACGTCATTACGTTCTGCATTCTACCGTCATCGTGCAATCAATAGCTCCCTTTTGGTACATTTAAAGATGGTTATCGTAATAGACACTATAGAGTTTATATACAATAATACTTATAACCATTGGAATAATTATAAAAAATTCATTTTCATACATATGTGCAGGACAACGCCTAGTAGTTCTTTAAGTCAGGATGCGAACAATTATCTTTTATTTTAAATTTTTTAATCAGTACATCGATATGCAAATAATTAAACAAGTACAAATTAAAATGCATATTCAACACAAGATAGTATAATACATACTCCAGGTATCGAAATGCACGCCATCGTGTGGAATTTAATATTTCGATGTTAATTATGTCATCATCAGGAATGATTATGTCATCATCATCCTGATGATGACATTATTAATGTCGAAATATTGAATCCCAACACGATGGCATGCATTTCGATACTTGGATTATTTATTATACTATCTTATCTGAGATTAATCAGTGGACCTTTCGATATTCAACACAGTTAGGAATTCAAGTGAATAAAGTGAATTCACAAACTCAATTTACAATTGTTGGAAACCGATCAGAATAATGTAGGTTCATTAACTGCCTTAACACTATGTGCTGGAAAGCTTGTGTCAAGTCTTATTAAATTAGTCTTAAATAAACTACCATTTAAAATAACTTTGTATCTTTTTGTTTCAGCGAACAAGTACAAGCTCAAAGTGTGTGGAGATTAACAGGGAGGTATGCATTATTTTTTTTTGTAGGAACTTGTTAAATATTTCTTGGTGTCCATATTCCTTCATCCCAGCAGTAGCTTGCGAGCAGTAGAGAGTTTCACGATACAAAATACAAATTTCTTTATTATCTAAAAATACAATATTAAATTATCTTAAATAGATTGTAATCTCGTATCCCAGCCAGGTAGAATGAGTACTTGTAACAGTCCATATGCGCATGTTTGTCGTCTTCTGTTGTAACTATATTGTCGCATCTGTCTACCAAAGTATTGATGACGCTTAACTTGTGATCTAACGGAGTCAAGCATCTGCACACACGAACCAGTTACTTTCCCCACCCTACCCAGCATCCTCTCAATTCTGCCCTTATCCCCTTACAGATATTTCCCGCCCAACAGCCTAATACACAGTACCCCCGAATAGATAACATCACTGATGATAACGATAGATAAATTACAGTAGAACAAAGAATCTAGAACGAATTCACTCATACCTGACTGGTATCGCTTGTGCTCTACTTTCTATTGTAAGTCTCTTTCCATTTAATGTACCCAGAGATTTTTACCACAAAGACTGACACACCAGTGTTTAAAAGAGTACAGTTTTCATTCTGGCCTAAACAAACAACAACAACCGTTTTAGGAGAGAATGTAACGCACATCATTATTCAGACATGCACGGTTAAATTAACATGACGTCTTAATGTTCCCATTCTAAGTCGTTGTGAATTGAAAGATCACTATATGCCCTAACTACTTGTTATAATAATGATAGTGTTAACATCAACAATTTTGTAATCATAAACATATTAAAACGCACTGTTTTGCCAAATCCGTGTATATTTCATTCACAGTTTCCTAATAATGTAATAGAAGGATGATGGGTATATAGAGTACCACAGTCGTGTTGTCACGACTCCAGGTGGCGCTCTCTGTGGTCATCAGACGTTGGTTACCTTTCATTACGCCTGAATGACTTCATAAGCTTTCTGGAATAGGCATTTTAAAATCTAATATTTTCCATCAAAATGTACTAAAAACACAAAAGCTCACATTATATTAGTTATCGAACACACGTTTAATCATCAATTAAAATTTACAAAGCAAAAGTAAGATACAACATCTTAATAATTACGTTAGAAATTGGGATCAGTGGTTTGTTAGTGGAGAAAATGGTGTCGGGTTGAACGCATTTTGCAACGATAGCAACGGAGTAGTATCATGCGGTATTATGACGTAACACTGCAGTACTCTATAGGAGGATGATGGGTACAATGGTAGTGGTGTTGATGCCATCTCAAAATCGGAGGTGTAAACCATCCCCCTTCTCGTTTGCATCTGTTAATCAATCAATTAATTATTTTGTTGGTTTGCTAAAATCGCCTTGAGAAGGTTTTTAATGTGGAAGGCGCTATGATATTATTAATAATATATTTTATCACATTAGTATTACTTTAATAATGCTAATAAAGGTAAATAATTAAAATGGTAATTGATAATATTAATTTATGATAACATTGAGTGTGATTAAATTTATAGATGGAGACATCACTTGGAGTATCAAAGCCAGTCCTGAACAATGTTATCTTCTGTCATCAGGAAGACTCGAACTGGTAAGAATTTTTGGCATATCTGATCAAATTGTTACAAAAAAACATTATATTATAGAGATATAGAGTTACCTTGTTTTAAAACAGGGCACTCACTTCATTGTGTGACAGAACGGTTATATGAACGTCGGCCGGTGAACTCCGCTCCCTGCGAGCGCTAGACGATGCGACACCGCCTGCTGATTTTTGGTGGCAGTCCGAACGAATCGTAAAAACAATCCATTGTGTGTACGTCTAGTCTTTGCATTCTCCGTAGAATCTCGACAGCCGAAGAATTTTACAGTGCTACTCCAATGCTTTGATCTTAAAAAATGAGTCGACTTTTCTGAATACGATGTTTGCCAAGATTTCTAGCGGAACTTTTGTCAAAAATAGTGGATTTGTAATATTTTCTATTTAATCATGACATTGGTGACTCTCTTAACTGTGTCATTTTTGGTGCTGTTAAACTAAAGCCGCGATCACACTAGACTTTTTCCTGTAAAACTAACCAAGGCGCTAGTTAGCGTACCATAATTAGTCCAGTGTGAACAGGCCATGAAACTTGCCTCCCAGGAAGGTCGCTTAAGGGTCAATGATTTATAACACTCTGCTCGGCAAACCACGGAGATATCCGTGTTTGGTAATGCAACACTTGACCGCAAACACAGAGATCTCCGTGTTTCAGGTTTTTTTTACGGAATCCAATATATGGGGTAATTACCTACATGTACTAACACTTTGAACACTATATTCAGTCTGGACAGTAAGTATTTCACTATTTGATTGTTTATATTAGCGTAGAGCGGTATTGATTTACTTTCACGAAATCGTGATTATCTCAGCTTCGTTGTGCAAAATTGCGTAAATCTCCAAAAGTGAGTCATTTTCATTTTACTGTTACGGGTCACAGATTGTGATTGGAATAAAGTGTTTGGTACCATAGTAAAGCTAAAATGTTGGTAGTTCTTGTAGTGTTCACTACATGTCAATCTGATCACATACACACTCTCAATTAGCTTCGGAAGAGTATTAGAATTTGCTAAAAAAGTCTGGCGGTGGCTGATACTATAGTTTCAAACCCCTGGCGGTCAGAGTGTTAATGTTTGAGGGTTTTTCTTCTCATTAGGCCTTTAAGTGAAGGCAAAACTCTGAAGACCAAGTTTGATGAGATCTTCGCTGCTACTAGATACATCAAAGCTTTAGAAAGTATCCGCAGTGTCAGGAAGACCCAGGCAAGTTCATTGCTAATATTCATAATGATAAATAAAATACTTAGCCCTAAATGCACTCTCTCGACAGTGAACAATTTTTTTAATCTTTTACTTTTGGTCACCCTCAGGAGCTAAGGTACTTTTGTGTAATTTTTTTTCCCCTGGAAATTGAATAAAATAAAATTTTAAAAAAAATTGTGGCAAGATCACTAAACATTCCGTTCGACTGACACTCATTACATGTGTAGATGCCAGCATCTAACAACACTGGCAGATCCTGGTGTCACTGAGGCTGATGTTGTGCATGAATGCCTAAAATTAACATCATTTCAATATATTTCAATTTTTTTTTTTTTTTTTTTTTTTTTTTTTGCAGGCAGACCAAGTGAAAATTTATAACACTGAATTGAGATATCTGAAGGAGAATAAGGACAGATCTATTGCGGTGAGCCGCCCCCCCCCCCCCATAGTTTTAGGAGATGGTCAGTGGTGACGGTGCCCCTGATTGGAAGGCAGATTCCCCTGACTAGAGCATAGATTGATAAATTTTAGGATCTCATTCTGGGAGAGGGAAGCTTCCCCAACGTGGCACTGGAGCTTGTATAGTCCTGGGGAAAAAAATTACTAAACATTAAGTTGCATGATGTAAATGCTTGAATAAGCGCCGCTCTAATTTTATTTTGCTAAGCGCCACTCTCAAGTACGCGTTGCAGTGCTTAATTCAGTGTATGTTATTGCCCTGTGCGTAATAAAACACTTTGAGAAACAGGGTTTTAAATACAAGGTATACAGTTTTGAAATGAGTAAATAACACAATGGAGACACGAGCATTTCTTTACAAATGTTTATGTACGATGATGTAGGACCTATGATAGGCCTGCTGAACTACGGAAATACGTGAGATAGGTAACATGGGAACGGGCCTGGAAAGCGCCACGCCATTTTATTTTATAAGCGCCACTCTTGAATAAGTGCTGGACTGAAGCCTCCAAAAATATTATAAGTGCTGCTGTGCATATTTTAGCATTTACGGTAAACTAGAGTAACATGTTTTTTAAACGTACCTAATTAATACAAAATAAAAAGAGTTTATGAAAACTTTTTATAAAGTAGCAAAATTTTGAAGTGTTCTGTAGTAAAGTCATAATAACTTTTAGAACCAATGCATATTCATTAAGTTATACCTCTGGTTTTAATCTTTAGGGTTGAGAATGAGCACCATTGTTTGAACTAACTACCACCATCCGAAAATAGGGTCAATTAAACTCCTCCAATAATTTCTTGAGTAAGAGGGAATATTGAAAATAAAGGATCTAGCATTTTGGAACTTTTTATCCCCTTATCGTTTTACCCCTTCAGCTTGAAAAGGACCTAGAGAGCATGAGCACAAGGCTTGACGTATCCAAGGACAAAGTTGTTGAGATCGCTGACAAATTGAGTCCACTCGAGGTTAGAGTTTTCTTCATAAAATATTTCAGTTACAATCTCAAATGGACTTGTGTTAATAGTGCAGCTGTAGCCCGGTGGTTAAGATGATTTCCTTAATATACAAGATGCATACACTGTAAAACCTCGAATTGAGGCCTTGTGCTTCTTTTTTTCGCGAACTTTGGGTGGGCTTCTTTTCAAGATGGGCTTCTTTTCAAGTCTACTTTTGCAAAGTAAAGAGAGGGGGCTTCTTTTCAAAATGAATGCTGTAAATTTTGGGAATTAGTAGTATAACACAATGAATAGGGCCACTGTAACATCATTTTGTATCATTGGAGTGTATTAACTGGCATTAAAATCACCTAATCTACTATATAAACCAAGCGTGTTTTTAATTTATTTTGAAATCATGTACAGTGTATGTACTGTACTATCTTGAAAAGAAACCTATGCTGTCTTAAAAAGAAGCCCATTTTCGTGATGAACTTCTTTTTGAGGCTAATTTTCTAAACTTAAGAGGGGCTTCAATTCGAGATGGGCTTCCTTCTCGAGATTAAGCCCATTTGGCTTCAAGGTGTTACGATATTCAACAACTAGTAGAGCTGAAGTCGCTCTTTGATTTGTTGAGGCAGCTACATGCATGCCCAACTACAGGATGAATTGCTTTAAGGATATTTATATTTTCAACAAGATGATGAATCTAAAATTTAAAATTATGCTTATTCTATTTTTATTTAATTAAATGCATTGAATCCTGACACAATGGTGTGCATTTTGATACTTGGAGTATGTATTATACTATCTTATCTGAGATTAATCAGTAGACCTTTTGGTTAAAATGAAATAAGATACATAATCTGAAATTTAAAGTATAATTTATATCATATTGCAAGAATTACAAGTTTGAATAGTATAAAAAAAAAAGTAACATCATTTTGTTTGGTAATGGAAGACTATAAAAATATTACATGTCTACAAAAACTGAAATATCTGTAACTACCGTACTTATATATTTATTATTACTGGTGTTAACTAATTTTTTTTTTTGTTGTTGAATAGGAAAGGCGGAAAACAATCATCACCAAACAAGGGGATATTGCTGACCTAGAAAGTAAAATTGGTATGTTATCAAATTTTCTGTTTCTCTTCAATATTTTACAGTCAAAGAACATTATCTGTTAGCTACCCACCCTTTTATATTCTAACTTTGATTGATGGGTAAGGGGCTGGCAATCTTTATAATCTAAAGGTACTGGGTTATATCCACACTGATACTTTTTCCCATTCCTTTTTTCTACTGGTTTGTCCACATTATTGGATGAGTATGATAGGAATAACAAATAATCTAGAAAATGTTCAGATGATTAATGTTTTTTTTTTTTTTTTTTCAGCAAAATTTGAAAGTGATAAGGAACATCTTGTAAACAACCAAAGAGAATTAGAGAGAAGTTTAGAAGAGATTTTCCAAGGTATTGATTTATTTATTTATATTTGAGATAAATTTTGGCAAGTTGAGCTGCTAAGGGGTAAGGCAGGGGTGCTGCTAACTACAGCCTTAACCAGTGTACACATTTAACTTTTGTGCACTTTAATGAACCCAGTGCATCTTTTGAATAAGTAGTGGGTTACGCCAATGATATGGTTCCATTCAGCCTCAGTTATTGTGGAATGAAGAAGTTATTATAAGCTCCTCTATATGATGGGCTAGGTAGTCAGGGACCACGCCCATATACAATTAAGCACAATGACATTGCAAGTTAATAATAATAATAATGATAATAATAATGGATTTATATAGTGCTTACCAAAGTGAACTAGGAAGTCTTTCAAATTCTACCTTTACCTTTTCCTTAATTTTTTGAACAGTTAATTTTCTGCAGCAATTACTACAATAATAAGGTTAATATTTTTCAATCTTATAATCAATTTTATATAGCCGGAGTTAGTTTCGATCTGGGCAAAACCTTTGCTATTAGGTACACTTTCTCCATCAAAAGGCTTCTTCTATGATTGGAATGACCTGTTCGAAGCACGAAATTTTTCAATCTTATAATCAATTTTATATAGCCGGAGTTATTTTCGATCTGGGCAAAACCTATGCTAATAGGTACACTTTCTACATCAAAAGGCTTCTTCTATGATTGGAATGACCTGTTCGAAGCACGAACTCCTGTAGACCAAACCCAGTACCGTTATGATTTTTAATCGTACGGGAAATCCACTCACGATGTTTTATAATTTTGAACTACATTTTGTAATGCTCCTTTCCTTTAGGTTGTAAAGCACAATTCAAAAAGTTTATTAATTAGTGATTGATGGATTGATTATCATATTTTAAACGAGTTTATTTTCCTTCAGGTACTACGGATGAGTTAAGAGCGATGATTCGAGAACACAAGTCAAAAGTTGATGAGAAGGCGGCAAGCCTTAAACAGGTGCTTATGGAAATTATGCTAATGCTTATGCAAATTATGCTGCTTATGCTACTTACATAGAAATACTAGATATTATTTTTGGTATAATATAATGCAGTTTATGCAGATTATTTATTACATATCCAAGTTACAGGTTTTAAGGGATGTTAGATAATTATTAAAGAATTTATGCAGATTAGTATAGAATTTATGAGGATTAGTATACAATTTATGCAGATTAGTATAGAATTTATGCTGATTAGTATACAATTTATGCAGATCAGTATAGAATTTATGCAGATCAGGCAGATTAGTATACAATTTATGCAGATCAGTATAGAATTTATGCAGATTTATATAGAATTTATGCAGATTAGTATACAATTTATGCAGATTAGTATAGAATTTATGGCGATTAGTATAGAATTTATGCAGATTAGTATACAATTTATGCTGATTAGTATATAATGCTGATTCGTATAGAATTTATGAAAAATATTTCAGAATTTTTTGAAAGATTATAATACCAGAAACGTATGTCTTTTAGAATGAAAGGAAGATCAGTCGCCAAACAGCAGAGTTGCAGAATCTTAAGGCTACCAAATTACGTCTGGTGGTTGCCCAGGGCAAGTTGGAACAGGAGGCAGAGGTAATAAATCAAATGTAGCTATATAGTGTTATATAAATTTGAAAATTGTACACAATTTAAGAATTTACTACATTCATTTCAGTACAGTCATTTTTATTTCTAATTTTATTAGGAAAGTATATTTAATCTTTCATAAAATTACAGAAAATGAATAATTTATTGTGTTTTTAAACTATATATATTATTGAAAATAATTGACTAGTTATTTAATTGATTTATGATTGTCCCAACTAGAACCACAAGGCAAAGGTTGAAAATAGAAACCGACGAATCCAGAGTGTTTCATCAAACCTTAATATGACTGGTAAGCTTTTATTTTACAATTGTCATAAACACTGCAATAAACGATTGTTCAGTTATTAAATTTCTTTTAATTTATTGCTATGGTTATATGATTGTTATTAGTAGTTGTTGTTAATGATTAGTGATGTATGTTGTTGA